CTGCTGAAAGTGGTTGGAATGCCATCATCATCCTGCCCTGCCCCCAAGTCAGTTTTCTGGTCTTTGGGAAAATGTGAGAGCAGTGGTCACTGGAATTCCAGCTGCAATTAGATACAAATTTTAGTCATTCCCTTCCTTCCTGGTAGACCCCCTAGTCCTTTAAGGAAGGGCTGGAAAGAGGGCCCAGGACCAGGAACTTCAAGGTTTAATTTCTAAGGCTAATCTTCAGCTTTTCACTTCTTTCTTCGTCCTTTTATTCTAACAGGACATGTCCCTTCTTGTCACAGAGGGAGTCTTAGAACTCCTCCTGGTCCTTTATTATCCCCCAAATAGTTCTTGGTCCTTCTTGCCTGCCTTGCAGATACAGCCTCTGATGCCCTCAGGCACTGCTCCCTTGACCTGCAGACACTCCTGGGCCAAGAACCCTCTCTCAGATCCTGGGAATAGCCAAGATCATGTCAGGAATCTCTGACATCCACTAGCCTGAGGTCTCATGGTTCCTCAGGAGATAAAAATAATCCAAGCCAAACAGGAATGTTTGAATAAAGGGATAGAGAACTCAGTTGTACAGAAGTGAGCTTTCAGCCTCAGTAGCAACAGATCTGCTATCGGTTCTGGAAAAGTGACCTTTATATCATCCATCTTTAGATGTCAATGAAAAGAGCACCCTGATAAATAGACTTGGGTATCCCAGAGGGCACAGTGATGCCCTAAGAGGCAGAGTTCCCAGGTGCTGAAGAGAGTGGGGACGTGGGAGAGGTTCTCCGGGAAAGGTAGTGAGGTTCTTACGTGAAACAGAAGACACAGCAGCAAGGGTCTCCTCCAGCTCCAGTTAGTAAGAGTTAGACAAAGCTCCAAAGCTGCTGCCGACCTGCTGGCTGCCTTTTTGCCTCACAAACAGTCTGCTTCTTAAAAATGCTCTATAATCTTCCCAGAAATAATGATTGTCCCAAAAGAAAAAATTAAGGGGAAAGGTTGAAACAGTAGAGCTGGAAGCCGATGCTATAAAATAGAACACTTCCTCTCTAGCTCCACGTTGGATCAGAAACAGTTAATCACCTCCCAGGACCACCTGAAGTCTGTCATCCTATGTAGAAAGTTGCCCATTAATTTTTTTTCTTTTTTTCTTTTTTTTCAACTTTACCTCCACCCCAGGGCCTTTGTTCTGCCTTAGAACTCACAAGTTTAACCAGAGGCTACTGTGCTGTACTATGGCTTTGAGAGTAAAAGAGGAGAAAACCTTCCCCTTTAGTTTAGTATGTAAGGCTGTCTTGAAGACTATGGCTTCGTTGCCCTGGTTCCTGCTCCCAGGGCTTCTCAGAATGAGGACAGATGGGACCGTGTTCCTCCAGGCAGCCTCAGTGATTAAGAGATGAGGTGACAGCACAGGCCCCAGTGACAGCCAGTCTTCTCTCTTGTTTTATTATTATTATTTAAATTTTAAATGTTTCCTAAGTAAGGAACAAGTTAAGAGAAGGAGCAGGCCAGAGAAGCCTCTATGAAACAGAATGGAAACTACCGTTCATTGAGCATCTCCTGTGTGCCAGGGACTGTGTATGGAGCTTTCAAATGCTTTATTGCTCTTAATCCTACCTGGGAGGTCCATATGGATAAGAAGATACACAACACACCCTGAGGGCTTACAAAGCAGAGCAGAGAATTGAACGCAAGCCTGTCTGACATCCCTCCTCCATCGAGTCTCCATAGCCAGTCATTTCTTTTTTACACAAATCCCATCTTCCTAGACTTATTTCTCATCCCTTTAAAGCCAAGGAATAGTGGGTGCGGCAGGAAGGTGGGGGGTAGGATGAGGGTACACATGAGGCGTCGACATGTGTGTTTGCCTCATATACGCGTGTGCAGCAAGAGTTCGGGTTTCCAACTTCAAGAGCTTCAGTGGGTTGACATTTGGCTTCTGGACCAGAAAGAACTATGTTACAAAGGCAGAAAGAGGACAAATTAAAAATATTTTCATACTTTTGGGCAGATGAATTCCTGTGAGCCATTGCAGGGCCACACAGGGCAAAAGGCAGAAGGAACTTTCAGTCTGGGCCACGTGGCTAGAGCCATGCCAGGCATGTCAAGAATCCCAGGTGTTCCGTCCATAAATGTCAAAGAAATGTACATATAATCTGTTTTATTCCCAAGATGTCTATTTTTCATATCTCTTCAATGACTCATTTGCACACCTATTGTAATGACAGGATTTTGGAATGGCGGAGGAATTTGCTACTAAGGCCCTGGAGCTGAAACCGAAATCTTATGAAGCTTACTATGCAAGAGCAAGGGCAAAACGCAGCAGCAGGTGAGGAGAGAGAGAGAGAGGGTGAGAAGCAAGAGCTCTCTTTTCTGAACATCTGGCCAAGGCAACGTAGACCATCCTGGGGCATATCGGACAGACCCATATGTCTGTCCCTGAGGACTCGCAGGACCAAGCTTTGGGGATGGCTCCCATCGCACAGAACGCATCGTACAGCTGGCAACTCTTTGGGGCTGTGGAGATCTAGAGCATTTTACTTTGGGAGAAAACTGCCTTTTCATTGTTGGAGAATGGCACCTTCTTCCAAGAAGCCTCTGCCATATCTCAGTCGCTTTTTAACCCCCAAAGCAGATAGCGTAGAGACACTGGTGGCTTAAGAAGGGATCACTTGAGCAAAATATCCTCCCAGCCCTTTTAGAGGGGAAAGTAGGATGGGTCATATATCACAGGCCCCTCTTTCTTTTCTTACAGGCCTTTGGGAGATTCCCTGGATCATTTAGTCTTCCTCCTGGGGCTCTCCTCAAGTCTGGTGGCATCAAGCCTCCTCCTCCCATACCCACCCCTCCCAGCACCACACCACACATGCATGGAGACAGGAGGTCCTGCTGCCAGGACTGAGAGGGCCCAAGAGAAACCCCATCTCTCATGCCCCATCTGCTGTGGTTTGGCCAGTGGGCAGGAAAGGCTCCAGAAAGATCTAGAAACTGCCATCAGTGATCTTTAGATAACTTGTCACCGTCCTTAATGCCTCCTGCCCGGCGCCCTGCCCTTCTCCCCAACTCTGCCTGTAAAACAACTGCTTCAGGTTCACAGCTATGACCAGGGGGCATGTGGTCCTGAAAATCAAACCCAGGTTAAGTCTAGTGATGACGGTGGCGGTGATCTTAGTCTTAATTAGCTGGGGCAACAGAGTTCTTACAGAAGCTTGACTGTCAAATTCTCTTTCCCCTTGGATTATTCCTTCCCCACAAGGCCAATTGCCCCTTTTCTGGGCAAGGTTAATAGGGAGGATGGGAGTATCTCTGGCTGTTTGTGTCCTTATCTGTAGACTAGAATCTGAGTTTTCTAGTCAGCAAGCCTAATACCTGCCCAGCTTTGATGTCGCAGAATGGAGGAGCCGCAGTGCTGTGGGGCGAGGGGTAGAAAGGGCAGAGGACAGGGTTCTTGCCTAGGATGGAACAGGCCTGAAAATTGGAGCTAAAATATAAAGAAAAAATTCTGCTGGATCAGCAAGATTTTAAATATTGTAGTTACTATTTTGTTCCTAAGCTAATTGACAGTGACCCTGTAAATGACAACCCCACCCAACCCTCATACTACCTGGTGTGCATTTGGACACTGAGAGAAACTTCCTGAAGGGCCTCGCTGGACTGACAAAATGGAGACATTTCTCCACTGATCCCAGAGAGGCCAGAGGGAAGATGGAGGCTGAACTGGCTAGGGAATCATTCTGGACTCTTCTGGAATGACAGCCTACCTATTTCCATCCTTACAAATCAGACGAAACCAAAGCCCCCCAGATGCCCCCAGATGCTAACAGTTCTCTGAAACAGTGACCGTGTTCTCAGCTCTTGGTGGTTCCTGTTGATTCAGAATAACTCCAGTTCCTGTGTTTACATTTTGTCAAGCAGACAGTTTGCAGCAGCCTTAGAGGACCTGAACGAGGCCATCAAGCTGTGTCCAAACAACCGTGAGATCCAGAGACTTCTGCTGAGAGTGGAGGAAGAGTGTCGACAGATGCAGCAACAGCCGCCGGCGGCACAGCAGCAGCCTCAGCAGCAGTTACCGGAAGAAACAGAACCTGAACCCCAGCATGAAGATATCTACTCCGTGCAGGACATACTCGAGGAGGAGTTCTTGGAACAGGATGTTGAGAATGTGTCCATCGGCCTCCAGACGGAGGCTCGGCCCAGCCAGGGGCTCCCGATAATCCAGAGCCCGCCCTCCTCCCCGGCCCACCGTGACGCGGCCTACATCTCCAGCTCGCCTCTTGGCTCTCATCAGGTTTTTGACTTCCGGTCCAGTAGTTCTGTAGGTTCTCCCACTAGGCAGAGCTATCAGTCCACCTCACCTGCTCTTTCTCCGACTCACCAGAACTCACATTACAGGCCTAGTCCCCCGCATACTTCCCCAGCTCATCAGGGAGGATCTTACCGCTTCAGCCCCCCTCCTGTGGGAGGGCAGGGCAAGGAATACCCGAGCCCTCCCCCGTCCCCTCTCCGCAGAGGCCCTCAGTATCGGGCCAGCCCTCCAGCGGAAAGCATGAGTGTCTATAGATCCCAGTCAGGCTCCCCCGTGCGCTATCAGCAAGAAACAAATGTTAGTCAGCTTCCTGGCAGACCGAAATCTCCATTATCCAAGATGGCCCAGCGGCCCTACCAGATGCCCCAGCTTCCTGTGGCAGTGCCCCAGCAAGGGCTCAGGCTCCAGCCGGCCAAAGCACAGATTGTGAGAAGCAACCAGCCCAGCTCAGCAGTTCATTCGAGCACCGTCATCTCCACAGGGGCCTATGGCCAAGTGGCCCATTCAATGGCTGGTAAATACCAGTCTTCACAAGGAGACATAGGAGTAAGTCAGAGCCGGTTGGTTTATCAAGGGTCAATCGGGGGGATTGTAGGGGATGGGAGACCCATGCAGCATGTGCAGGCCAGCCTGAGTGCAGGTGCCATCTGTCAGCACGGAGGGTTGACCAAAGAAGACCTTCCCCAGCGACCTTCCTCCGCCTATCGAGGTGGCATGAGATACAGCCAGACACCACAGATTGGGCGTAGCCAGTCCGCATCCTATTACCCAGTCTGTCACTCAAAACTAGATCTGGAGCGTTCCTCCAGCCAACTAGGTTCCCCTGATGTGTCACATTTAATCAGAAGACCTATTAGTGTCAACCCTAATGAAATCAAACCCCACCCACCAACTCCCAGGCCATTGCTGCACTCCCAAAGCGTAGGCCTTCGTTTCTCTCCATCTAGCAATAGTATCTCATCCGCCTCCAACCTAACTCCTACCTTCCGGCCATCTTCCTCGATTCAACAAATGGAGATCCCACTGAAACCGGCATACGATAGGTCATGTGACGAGCTGTCGCCAGTGTCTCCCACTCAGGGAGGTTACCCTAGTGAGCCCACCCGATCCAGGACCACACCATTCATGGGGATCATAGATAAAACAGCCCGGACTCAACAGTACCCCCACCTTCACCAGCAGAATCGGACCTGGGCAGTGTCATCAGTGGATACCGTTCTCAGTCCTACGTCTCCAGGCAACCTTCCTCAGCCTGAGTCCTTCAGCCCACCGTCATCCATCAGCAACATTGCCTTTTATAACAAAACCAACAATGCACAGAACGGCCACTTGCTGGAGGACGATTACTACAGCCCCCATGGGATGCTGGCTAACGGGTCGCGCGGAGACCTGCTGGAGAGAGTTAGCCAGGCCTCCTCGTACCCCGACGTGAAGGTGGCTCGGACCCTCCCTGTGGCTCAGGCGTACCAGGACAACCTGCACAGGCAGCTGTCCCGGGACTCTCGACATGGGCAGACGTCCCCTATCAAACCAAAGAGACCATTTGTGGAGTCTAATGTTTAAAAGACGTGTGTTGGAGTGAGACCCCTATGTGTTCACTGCACATTTTCAGGCTTGGTTTCCACATTCGAGGTAGTTCTCTGGCTTAATTTCTCATGTAGTTTCCACGTGGTGTTCAGAGGTGGCAGCCCACATGCTGAAATCCTTTGCATGCAGCCAACTGGGAAGCTGGCCTCCGGGGAGCCAGGACTTGGGTTTCTTTTGTCTGTACCCTAGCCACACGCTCTCTCCCTCTCATCAGATGCCAACGAGGAGATTGTTGTGCCGTGTGCTTTAACCCAGGGAGATCAGACACACTGGTCAGCTTTTTCCAGGAGACAATCGCTTTCACTGATGTTCTTGTTGTGTAAAATGTCTTTCTCCTTTTTTTACAAAAATAAGATGTTCTTGTTCGTTTTCCTCTAGGAGCTTTAGGAAGAGTGTGATGCCCCTTTGCCTTTGCATTCTTATCCAGTGTTATCCAAACAGCAGCCCCAGCGCATTCTTGTGCCATGGTCTCCTCCCCTGAACCGCCAGCTCCCTGCAGCCATCCGGTCTAGAATGTTCATTTAGATTATCGCTGGTCTTCCTATGGGGGTAAAGGATCAAGGAGAAAGGGAAGAAATAAGAAAGCACCAATGCAGTTATTTGAAATGTCACTACATGGATTTCCCAAGATGCATTTTAGGAACATTGAGAAAACAACCAGCCCTTTAAATATTTCAGTCAGCCGAGGAAATTGGATGAGAATCATGCATACTTTTAAATAATTCACTGAGTTATTCCTTACGTTTTTAGCCAAATTAACCATTAAAAGCTACCGATTTTCCATGGGTGGGGGAGAGAATAAATAAATACATAGAGAGAGAGAGACTGTTCTGGATTCTCAGTGAAAGGCTGTGGAAAATCTATCTTGGAGAAATCTACTTTTTGGGTTCTGATACGTCACTGAGCATCGTATTCCTCAAAAAGCATACTCTTCCCGGAGGTTGACCGGTGTAGTAATCCTGTTAAGTTGGATCTTTGCCTAGAGCCAGATTTTGTTCTACTGGCCCTCTTTTTGTTGTTTTTTAAACCCAGATGGTATAGTGAAGAATTGGTTTTGGGGGAAGGAAGTTGAATTCTCTGGGGACGGTAAGACGTATTCCCAGAGCTTGCACCCAGGGCCATTGCATTCCATGGCAGATGTTGTCTAACTCCATTTCAAGACCTATTGTTTCATTATCTATTATTACAGGAATTGTTTACTCTTTTCTTTTTCTAGGTAGGAATGTTTGGGGATTGATATTTAAAAGCCAGGCACAGCAAAGTGTTTCAGGGTGAAGAAAGACCCCTTTCAGCCCTGGGTAGGAGCACATAAGGTAGACAGCAAGTCTTCTGATCCAGTCACCCTCCAGACATCTCCTGTGTCTGGTGGTCCTTTGCTAACTGGTCCTTTGAGTGACTGAGGCCAGCATGAGAGGGATGGCAAGAACACTGAAATCAAAGCCTTAGCACAGGCCTGGTAGCAACTGCACATCAGCTCTTAAAATTAACAAACTAAACAACTAAAAGTAAACAAAAGAGAATTCGGTCACTGTTACCAGGAATCATTCTGCTCTTGTTAGTAAAGGGCTACAGGGAGGTTTCCTGAATAAAAATCCAGATGTGACCAGACCTGTTTGTAATAGTAAGTGTCCTCTGAAAGAATCGTAAAGACATGGGGAGCATGAAGCTGAAATCAGAAACACTTCGTTACTAACTTAGATTCTGCCAAATAGATGAACCCCTCCCCCCCCCAAGCCTGGAACAGGCCAGGATGTGTGTCCTGTGCTAGAAGTAAACAGCAAGGCTAACTCAAGCCCTAGCCTCTGTCCACTCTCTCTGATGCTTGAGGACTGTCTCCAACTCACCTAGCCCAGAGTGGACATCAGTCTCTCTCTCTCTCCCTCTCTCTCTCTCTCTCTC